AGTTATCCTAGGGGCTGATCCAAGATTTTCCTCAGCGAGGGATGTGGAGGTCTCAGGAGGGGGTGCATCCCACAAAAATCATTACCATGAAGATAAAAAATTGTAAAAAGATATTGAAAGATACAGATCTCAGGATGGGGTGTGCACCCCCCCCCCCCGCCCAGCTGGATCACGATATAATGCCCTATAGATTTAAAATGCTCTAATGTCTATTTGCGAGCACTATTTCGTCACGTTGTTGATTCTCCACCAATGAGAGTGGAAGTGAATTAGTTGTTGATTCATGATTTGTGATTATAAGTGTCTAAGTGAGATAAATAAAAATTGAAGTAAAATACTTCAATACTTTCGTAATTGTAAAGTTCATCTTGTGTTGGCCTTCACCAAAAAATGTTATTCACAAAATCATTATTTTTTTTTGATCTACGCAAGGTCTTTCAAGCAAATACGGACTCCTACAATGTAGTCTTCAACCGTATTGAACCAGTTATCTCTACAAAGGAAATTAAACTTCGCGTTAAAGAATGGCACAACAAGATAGCTCTACGGATGGAACTCTATGGCTGTGAAGGTAAAGAAAACTCAAAAGTATTTTTGAATCTTGTGACTTTGTCAGTCCTCTTGAGACATAAGTAAAATGTCCATAGTTTTAAGTTAGAGTAACAGCAAGCCCGAACGCATAGCTTTAAAAGTTGAAAGCGTTTACGCGTCACGCACATGCGGTTGCTGGGCATTCAATTCCAGGCATGGGGAGAAGCCACTGTAAATGATCTATCCCGTAAGCTTAAAGTGTCTATGACGCCTGACAAACAAATTTCTGATTCTCTGTGAGCTGATTCTCTATATGATAAATAATTGAATGGTGAAATATTCCTACATTTCAGTGTTGCGTCTTTGAGTTATGAAGGTTCAATCTTACAATATGTTAATGAAAATGAAGGAGTCACTTAAAAATGGTTTCATGGCATTACATTTGTCGTATGCAATGTAGGGAATAATCATATTCCCAGATGGCGTTCATGAAAACATTTTTGAGCGACTGTTTCAAAGTTCGTATATCTCATGAAGCCTCCCTTGACGTCATTATCATTATCATTAGCATATTGTAACATTAAAGCTTCAAAACTCAAAAACGCAACGCTGAAATGCAGAAATATTTAAGCATTCAATTATTTACTTTATATAGAATCAGCTCACAGAGAATCAGAAATTATTTTGTCAGGTGTCATGGGCACTTTAACTGCGCGATATAGGCAGTAGACTCTACTGATTTTTGCTGCCTTAACGAATTGATCTGGAAGGGCTGTGCCTGCTTAGGGGGGCTGATATATATTGCGGGGTCTTATTGTAAACATCTTTGAGCACTGTCACTAGGATTTTATATAGTCCTTAAAAGGATTGGACTCGTGTGCAGGCGGTAATAGGAAGAATACGTAACAATACTAATGCAAATGGATTACATTATGCCTGCCTGTTTTTCAGTGGATGCAAGCACTTGCCGACAGCGTAACCTGGGAATGGAGAACAATGCCATCAAAGATGATCAAATTCATAGTCCCAGTTCAAATAATCTTGCAAAGTATGCTCGTCTGAACTTGGACTTAAGATCGCCTATTGTTAAAAGCTGCTGGACAACATCTGATCCGAGCCCGTGGCTTCAGGTCGACTTAAAATCGTCATATTACATTACTGCAGTTTTAACACAGGGCTGTGGATTTGACTATACACGCGAATGGGTCAAGAAATATAAAATAAGTTATGGAAATTACCCAAGCGAAATGGTTGACTACAAAGTTAATGGCACAGTTAAGGTAACTGTT